CATATGTTTCTAAATATAAATTTAATCTAAACAAACGTTGATATTAAATAAATATATAATAATAAATTCATCACATAATATTTCGAAAGAGTCAAAACATGAAAAAAATAGAGTCATCTGTATAATTTAGGAAATCTAAAGCACATTTAAGTACCACGAAGACCAAATACTTCTGGCTTAATGGTACTGCTATTTGATATATAAATGCTCATTTCGTATGATATATCTATATAAATATAATAGTGCTGTCTGTTATATTTCCACGTAACTGCTTCGTAGGGTGTAGATGAATCTTCACCAAAATTGGTATGGAGATTCATTAGGTCCATGCGTGGATACATACAAATTATATCAGTTTTGCATTTTGCAGTTTTTATGAGCGTTTTTGCATTTTTTACCACTACTTCGTCCGCTATTGATGGATATTCACCTAATTTGTCATGAAGGTTTGTTGGGTCCATGCAGAAACAATTGCAAAGTTTCGGTTTCATATTTTTACAATTACATATAAGGGAAGCAACTTTTCATGTCCTAAGATAACTTTCATTAATCACGAATTTAGATAACTTCCGTCCAAGGGACGGGTACTCCAGCAAGTGTATATATAATATTTTTCTCAATTTTTGAGCGAAAATTCGACTTAATTCTCGAAATGATGTCAGTTTGTATAACCGATAGAAAAACAACAACAACACATAACACAATTAACTTGAAAATACAATTAACAAACAAAGGCTAATTTGTACCTTTCTTTTGTTTTCTAATCTTCTGAATTCAAGTGTCTCGGTACATCAGTATAAACATTTCAAACTGGTTTAGCAATCACGTTATGCCAATTTGAAGTTTATTATTTCCTAATCAACTATTTAAGTTGAAAAAGCTAACTACTTAAATTGTCATTGTTAAAATAAGAGGGAACTGGATTATATAATTTCTACGGTTTAGTGTAATTACATTTTGTGAATCAGTGATTATAGTTCACCAAATCTTAGTCACAAATACATAAAAAATATACTATTTTGGCATACTATTAAATTAAACTTTGTTCTTTGTAAAATAAGGTATTATATGATCATAAATATCTTAAGTTTCATTGTACAGTGATAGCCTTACAGAAACAACTGTTCAGTGAAAAGTTCATGTTGTTTTAGAAGCGAGGATGGATTTATAGTATTCCTCTTTTTTTTTTTCTCTTCCAGACAGTCTCAGATCTGTCAAAGAGTTTTAGTGTTTTTGACAAGAAGATGTTTTGCAGCTCCTATTTCCAGCTGCTAGAACACTATTGTCCAAATACATATAGGATCAGAAGCTTTTTACTTAGGAAGCGCCTGACAACGTAACCAGGAGTTCTTTCTCAGGCCAGTGGACTTGTCGCACCCAAGCAACAAACACTTCTCACTTCTGTAATCCTTCCCTTATTGAATCTGACATCTTTCGTCAAGCCATGAAACGACTCACTACAGTTGGCATTGTCTTCTTCGTTTGTTTGTGCTTCAGTCTCCATGGTAACATATCTCTCAGTCTGCCTAGAGAATATTGTATAATCGGTGCTGGACCTTCCGGTTTACAGATTGCTTATTTTTTCCACCAAGCACAGAGAGACTACGTTGTTTTTGAGAGAAGTGATATTGTAGGTAAGTTTCTTCTAAGAATTAATCTCATTTCTGATGTCACTTAGGGACCCTCTAAACGACGCTTACACTACTAGGATATAACATTGACAGATATTTAGTTGGCCTGAGTAAAAATGTCTATAATTCTAATTTTTTATTCGTTATTTTGTCTGTTTGCACAAGTTTTGAACAGATAAAGCATAAAGACGCAGACCAGTAACTCTCACTAATACCTAAATACATAATGTTATTACAATAAATCCCATACATTTTCTGTATAATAAACCTTTCAGGCTAAAGTTACAGATGAATGTAACATTAAAAAATGTTGATCGATTTTCCAGGATCATTTTATACTTTTTTCACAAGTACATTGTTTATTAAAGCTTTACTGTTTTCGTAACTTAGAGTATTGTAGCCACCAAACAATTTAAAATACTCTCAATCTGTGGGCTTAAATACCGCCACTGAGTATGCTTTCCCTTTTGAGCCATGGGAGTGTTATAATGTTACGGTCAATCCTACTATTAGTTGGACTAGTTTCTGTCCCTCTAGTCTATCACTTCGAAGTTAGGAGGTGTCCCCCAGTGGCACAGCGGTATGTTTACGGACTTACAACGCTAGAATCCGTGGTGAGCAGAGCACAGATAGCCCATTGTGTAGCTTTGTGCTTAATTACAAACAAACAATCGAAGTTAGGAATGGGTAACGGAGATGGCCTTCGAGAAGCTTAGTGCGAAATTCAATAAACAGACAAGCAAATCGCTAAAACTTTTACACTTTTACGACATAGCGATACGTACAGTCAATACCTGAAACCCTGAAGGAGAATTGACATAGTCTCAGAACCACAGTCACGGTATTAGTAGTAATGTATTGTTAATTATGTCTGAGGAGATCAGCATGTCTTTCATTCATCTCAACTGCGACAAGAATATTCAGTCACAAGGTTCTGTTTGGGAGGAAGAGGTGTGTGTGTATATATATAACTGAAGAGGCGAACTATACGATAAACTTCACTGATAAACTAGTATTCATACACTAATAATTTCATCAGGGCTCTTCTGAACTTGACGCTGGTGTTACCTAAAATACCTAGTACTGTTTTTGTTCTTTTGGTTACAGACCGTATACTGTGTTAGTTTGAAACCTAATAAATCCACCAAAACTTTAGAAAACATACCACCTTAATAATACTAACCTATATGATATACTTCTTCATTCTATTACTTAAAATACGTTTGTGAAACTTCGTTTTATACCATTCTATTTTAATACTTACTAATAGCCTTTGTTTTTAGAAAAATCGCACCAATAATTTATATAAATTAATACTTGATTTTGTATTAATCAACTGTCTTATGAGGCATCCGATAAAACTTTCTCTCACACAATGCCATAAACAGGCGTGAGTTAAGTGTGAGTTTATCTTGTTTCATTAATGAAATTATAGGTGATTTTATGTAATATCGTTTTCTGAATTTTTACAAGAAACTACCAACTCCGAAATGTTTTACTATACAACTCTAAACGTAAGAGAAAACACTTTCTTGAAACTCATTTTAATTTATGTGGTGAATACTGTGGTATTCGTCTAAACACAGAAGTAATCCTAGGTTTACGAACCGATCTAAACTTGAAAATGAATTAAGACTCAGTGAAACACTAATCGACAAATACGTTGGTTCACAAAGAGCAAACAGTTCTTTGTTCCTAGATTAACGCGAAGCATAAAGCATCAAAAGTTACCGAGATTATATTTCTAAAAAGATATCAATCAACTCAAAGAGAAGATATTAGATTGTGTTCTGTTGAGTTCAAGGAGGTTGCAGTGTAAGATATTACTTCAAACTCAATATTTTTCTTTAGTAGTAGAGTCAAGGAAGAGATAAACGTGCTTGTTTACTTCACTAAATTTTTTGGGCAGAAGGTAAACATTAAACATTACAAAATAAATCCATCTCGGCCATTTACACATCAGTATACTTCGAAGACTAATACCTAAACCCAACCACTAGAAGAACTAATGATAGACGTGGACTATTGTAGACATATGTTTAACTATAAGTGTCAAAATAAGGATGTTGTCACTACACGTAGACAGAAGAGAAGTATTCAAACCAGAGTAAATATGACACTTTAGGATTTTCCACAATACCACAATATGAAACTGTGTATTTGTTGCTGTGGTACATAATAAAGTAACATAACAAAAAACAGGCTGGCTGCGATTCACATATATATATATATATATATACTCATTAATTATGAACTTTATTTACAAAACAGTTAAAGCTTTGTCATATTTGTATTTAATGTGTTTTGAGGATGTAGATATTTTCTGACTTGTAAAAATGCATTGCATCATATAAAGAGAAGTAATTGCAACTAATGAGCGTACTGATTTGTTATGGATTTTTAGCATAAACTAGATCATAAAAATACACTGATGAAATCAGTCTCGACTAACAGGTTAGAGAAAATGTAGATTTGGCCTGAATATTTATCTTTAACGTTATCAACGTTCTGTCTTGCCATCAAACGTTTCGCTATTATTAGAGATTGTCACAAATGAAGTAAAATGTTTTTTATCGTCACTGATTCAGTAAACGCAGTCAAGAAAAGTTATCCCAACTTTCAAGAAAAGTTGTCCCAGCTTGTGGGTCATCTGTGCAAATATTAATTAAGTTAAAATATATTTTACAAGCATCTTCATAAGATCTTTTCTTTTTTGTCTGTTGTTCAGCATATTTCTGCTTAAGTTGATTGTTTTCTTTGTTTGTTGTTAAGCACAAAGCTGCACAATGAGTTACCTGTATTGTAGCCACTACGGGTATCGAAAACTAGTTTTTAGCGTTTTAAAGCTTCAGACTTACCGCTGTGCCACTGGAGGGTTTAGAATAACGACTAGAACTATGATTTTTACAACAGTAAGAAGTCTTACATTTACTGTATATATATATAATACTGTTTTTTATACGTATGTTGAATGACATACTATAACAATTCATTCCTTAGAAACATGTCAGTTATCAAAATGCACCGACAAACATAAAAAATATGTGAACTATTAATGTCTTTTATACAAACATGTCAGTTATCAAAATGCATCTACAAACATAAAAAATATGTGAACTATTAATGCTTTTATACAAACATGTCAGTTATCAAAATGCATTTACAAACATAAAAAATAATGTGAACTATTAATGCTTTTTATACAAACATGTCAGTTATCAAAATGCATCTACAAACATAAAAATATGTGAACTGTTAATGCTTTTTTATATAAACATGTCAGTTATCAAAATGCATTTACAAACATAAAAAATATGTGAACTATTAATGCTTTTTATACAAACATGTCAGTTATCAAAATGCATCTACAAACATAAAAAATATGTGAACTATTAATGCTTTTTATACAAACATGTCAGTTATCAAAATGCATCTACAAACATAAAAAATATGTGAACTATTAATGCTTTTTATACAAACATGTCAGTTATCAAAATGCATCTACAAACATAAAAAATATGTGAACTATTAATGTTTTTTTATATAAACATGTCAGTTATCAAAATGCACCTAGAAGCGTAAAAAATATGTGAACTATTAATGCTTTTTTTTACACGAGGGAAAAAAATTGCAACTTGCGCTGAATTAAACTCTAAGATCTTCTACTTTTGTTTGGAAGAGATTATTTACGCATGACAGTTTGCCACGAGTACAAATAGCTAACTAATAACGCTTAAACACGTATGTATATCGCATATTAGGTTAGAATGTTAAGTTAACGTCAAAAAATATTAGAATTATTAATCTTAAATTCTTCAGTGGATATTATGTGAACATTATATTTTTCTTTAGACTGTTAATAATCAAATGGTCTCGCACAACCAAAACACAAACAAACTTAGACTTGAGCTTTATCGCTACTAACGAAAGACATAAAAGTACAAAATTATATAACGTTCAAGTCAATGAAAGCGTGTTTATTACGTTCTAGTCCATCCCCCGATATATTTACTTAATATTAATGGTCCTCTTATGCTACTTAAAACGAGTAAAACTTCACTTTTTACAACCATGATACGCGATAACAAAGCAAAGCTTTTCGGTAAATGTAAGGAAGCTTAAACTCCCACGTGTGTCATATAATCACGTTGGAACTACACGATTGTGGACATAATATGAAGATATTCAATAAACCTCACACATTACGGAAATCAGCTTGCACTTACATGATTAAACTGTTGACAGAAAAAAAAATTATGTAGAGCACTTAGCTGTAGTTTTTCACAGAGGTTCAGATTATAATTTTTGTCTGCGCGAAAATTCATATATTTACAAATGCCTGCAGTGATTTCGATTTTGCAAACTACTTGTAAAATATAAATAAATGTGATCTCGACCATATATTTCCACCGAAATGTTAGGACTCGCTCCTTTGCCATTAACGTGGTCAACACTGCGTCACTGTAAAATAGGTTTTTAATTATAATAGATGGTAATCATATAATAAGTTACTTAACAAATCATTTAATAAATGTATATTGGTAACTATTTTAGTTACATGTATAAATAGGGCCGGACGTAATCTATTGTATGGAATGCCCAGACTATGAATCCGCAGGTTCATGGTTAGCGTCCTGTTGCCGCAAAACACGTGTTCCGCACTTAGGGGTTGTAGATGTTCTATAAAACTGATGATCAGATCTCACTATTCGGTTGCCCAAGAACTGACCATTGATTTTGTTGATTAACTGTCTTCCTTCTAGTCTATCACTTCATAAATGTAATCTATATTATTGCAATACAGAATAAAGATTGAATTTGCAATTTGTGTTTTTATTGAATCTTATGCTTCGATTGTGTTAACTAATTATGCTTGTGTTTAACATTTTCAACATCAGAGGGCTTATATTGTTGCTCGCTTATATTCGTTTAATAAGTATTCCATGAACGTCAACAAGTCATTGCTCACGTATATGGTGTTTTGAGATGTCTTTTACTCACAT